CACAACAAAACACAACACTCATGTTTTGTCACCTTCGACTCTGTCAAAAAATAAATTGTTTTCCCAAAAAAAAAAAAAAAAAAAAAAAATCAATTCGCGTCTGTCCTACCAAAAAAAAAACCAATAGGATAATTAATGTGTACGCGTCGATCAATTAAACAAACTTTTCTTTTAAAATGCACTCAATTAAAAATAAGAAAAGAACCAAAGGAAAAGAAGAAGATTTTGAAAGAGGGTAAGTGTTTTAAGGATGGTGGTGGTGGTTATCGCCCGCCACTCGTCGTCACTCTAGTTGCTATATTAAAAATTTTGATTTTCTTTGCTTGCTTAGGAAAACAAATGATGATTTGTCAGAATTAACAGAAGAACAAGGGGCGATCTTTGACAGTATTATTTATCAAAAGAAAAATACCTTTTTCACGGGGGCGGGCGGTAAATGATTCCTATCAATATTTTTATTTGTTACATTACCATTACCATGTGTTATAAGATATGATAATATCTATTATTGTATTAGGGACTGGTAAAAGTTTTTTACTATCAAAGATAGTCTCATCATTGAAAAATATTTATGGCGACGAAAAAGTAGCTGTCACAGCTACAACCGGAATAGCAGCTATTAATATAAATGGAATCACCTTACATTCTTTTGCTGGTGTGGGGTTGGGAACTGATCCTGTGGAAAAACTTATTCAAAAAATAAATTATTCAAAAAATAGTTTCATTAGATGGAAAGTCATTAAGGCTTTGATAGTTGATGAAGGTAAATTAATATATTTATATATGTGCATATGTTTATTTATTGGCACAAGTTAATGTATAACGGATTTCATAAATAGTATCCATGCTTGATGGTGAATTATTTGACAAGTTGGAAGCAATATCAAGATCCGTTCACAAAAACAATGATCCATTTGGAAATATTTTAGTATGAAACCTTTTTTTGGTTTTAATTTTAATATAAAAAAAATCAATTTAACAAACATCTATTTTAGCTTGTTCTTTCGGGTGATTTTTTGCAACTACCACCTGTTCCTTCTAATGGCGTTAATTACAAATTTTGTTTTGAGGCAGCTTCATGGAACCGATGTATTAATGTAAAGTTACAATTATCAGTGGTATTTAGACAAAAAGAATCTGGTAAATAGCTATCGGCAATAAATTTATCTACATACATATATTTAATAAACGACCTACCTAATTAAATTTCTTTTCTTTTAGCCCTAGTAGAAATGTTAAATGAGATTAGAATGGGTTTTGTATCTCAGAAGACAACAGATATTATGAATAAATTAATAAATCCACCAAAGTATCCTGATGATGGAATTCTAGTTACTGAATTGTAAGTTGAAACTATATTATAATATATACATACATTGAAAAATTTACATGTATATTATGGATAATAATATTATAATAATTAATATTATATTTAATAGATATCCAACAAACTCCAAAGTAAATGAAGTAAATAGTTATCATTTAGAAAAGTTAAAAACGAAAAAATATACATATTATTCCATTGATTATGATCCTCCAAGATATGGTCAAATACAAAAACTAGTACATAATTGCTTGGCATTACACAAATTAGAATTAAAACGCGGATCACAAGTGATGCTTGTTAAAAATATCAGAAAAGATCTAGTCAATGGGAGTAGAGGTGTCATTATTGGTTTTTATTCAAAAACCACCAAAAAAAAATATTATAATGGTGAGGATGAACATGTAGAATTTGACCAAGAGGATTTATTACCAATTGTTAAATTTACTAAAAACAGAGAGGAAATCATTAGTATATCTGAGTGGAATCTAATTGAGACTATTGAAACCGATGATATAATCCTAGCAAGTCGAAAACAAGTATATACATATATTAATTACATATACTTTATTGAACATTATTGCTAACATTTAATTAAATAATAGATCCCTCTTTTGCTTGCATGGGCAATAACAATCCACAAAAGCCAAAGCCAAACTGTGGAACGAATTAAAATTGATCTGAATAATGTTTTTGCTAGCGGTTTGTATTTGTTTGTTATTTTTGTTAAGAACTTTTTTTTTAATTATTATTAATAATATAAAATTGCCCATATATTACAAAATAGGACATGTATAGTGCAAGGCACCTAGTCACACAACTTTTTATTGGCCTTGTAGATCCTTCTCTAACTCCAAAAATGGAAATGTAACACCAAAAAATAAGCCGTAAT